TGAGTTGGGCCAGGCGGGTTCTATAAAAACTGTCAGAGGCACTCTTCATTTATCTTAAAAACAAAACAAAATGAAAAACAGATTCTAGCTCCTCAGGAGGAGCCCTGAGGGTTTTTGCCCCTTTCCTATTCCAGGTGTTCCCTGACCAACACAGTCAGGGTTAATCCAAACACAGTCACGTCAGTGCCCTCCAGGTCCCCTCCCAAGAGTGGTGTCCCCTGAGGAGCACAGAGAGGCAGTGGCTCTGCAGCTATCACACGGGGTTCAATCTTGCCTGGTCACAGCAATCTGGAGATCTTGGTTGAGTCACTTCAGTGTCCACCCTCCACCAACTAATGGGTGAATGATCATAGTCACCCCTCACAAAAGGGCTGAGAATCACTGAGTTTGGCCATTCCTCAAGAAAAGTGAAATGTAGAATTACCATGTGATCCAGCAATTCCATTCCTAGGCATATATCCAAAAGAACTGAAAACAGATATTCAAACAAAAACTTCTACATGAATATTCATGGCAGCACTATCCACAGGAATCAAGAGGTGTAAACAATCCAAATATCCATCAATGAAGGGCCTGGCCCGTGGCTCACTTGGGAGAGTGTGGTGCTGATAACACCAAGGCCATGGGTTCGGATCCCTATACAGGGATGGCCGGTTGGCTCACTTGGGAGAGTGTGGTGCTGATAACACCAAGGCCATGGGTTCGGATCCCTATACAGGGATGGCCGGTTGGCTCACTTGGGAGAGCGTGGTGCTGACAACACCAAGTCAAGGGTTAAGATCCCCTTACTGGTCATCTTTAAAAAAACAACAACAACAACAACAACATAAAAAAACAAATATTCATCAACAGATAAATGAATAAACAAAATGTAGTCCATCCATATAATAGAATATTATTCAGCCATAAAAAAGAATAAAGTACTGATACACACTACAACATGGATGAATCTTGAAAGCATTATGCTAAGTGAAAGAAGGCAGAAGTTTATATGCAATGTTCAGAATAGGCAAGTCCACAGAGACAAAAAGCAGGTCACTGGCTGTAAGAGGCTGGGGGCCAGGGAATGGGGAAGGATGCTAAACGAATATGGAGTTTCCTTCAGGGTGATGAAAATGTTCTGCAACTAGACTGAGGTGGTGGTCGTACAACATTGTGAATGTCTTAAATGCCACTTAATTGTACACTTTAAAATGGTTAATTTTGTTATGTGAATTATACCTCCATAAAAGGAAGGAAGGAAGAAAAGAAAGGAGGGAGGGAGGAGAGAGATAAAGAAAGAGAAATATGAGAGGTAGGCAGGGGCTAGCTCAGGGCAGTAATCCCCTGTCTAGGGGGCCCCTGAGACAAGGTGGTCCCCCAGCTTCTACTCCTATCAAAACCTCCACTTTACAGATGGGGAAACTAAGGCTCAGAAAAAGAAGTAACTTGCTCAAGGCCACACAGCTTATAAGGGGCCAAGTCACGGTCTGAAGCCAGGATTGCTCAATTTCAAAATCCCTGCTCTTAAAAATAACACACCTCAAGAGAAGCAAGAATACAGTTCAATAGATACTTCGACAGGGTGAGGCCAGGGCTGTGTAGGCACCGAGAAAGGACACAGAGTCCAGCCTGGTCTGAACCCAGGATTGCTCAATTTCAAAATCCCTGCTCTTAAAAATAACACACCTCAAGAGAAGCAAGAATACAGTTCAATGGATACTTCGACAGGGTGAGGCCAGGGCTGTGTAGGCACCGAGAAAGGACACAGAGTCCAGCCTGGGGAGGGGAGGTAGTCCAGGAAGGCTTTCAGAAGGAAGTGAGACCAGATTGAAAGAAGAGGAGTATGCATGTCTTATAACCAAGTACAGTAATGGTCCCCTTGGTAGAGGAAGAGGGGCTTAGCAGGCTCAGGAAGCAACATGGAGACCATTGGGTGGGTGTTGGGGGGAAATGGGGGGAACCAAATCAAGAAGGGCATCCACTCAGCTACTCTTCACTGGAGGCCTGCTATGCACCAGGCACTGGGCTAAACACAGGGATGCAGTGGTAAACCAAACAGGGTCAGCCCCTGCCCTTCTGGAGCCTACCATCTAGCAGGGAGGCATAGACATACATAGTAACAGTTCACACTTACATGGTACCTTGGCCACTCTCCAGGATGGCCCCCAGTGATCCTTCCCTCCCAATATCCTGGCATTCACGCCCTTACACGGGCCCCTTCTACACTGAATAGGGCTGACCTATGTGGCCAATAAGGTTCTGTAGAAATAACTGTGTGATTTCCGAGACCAGATCATAGAACATGTTACAGCTTCCCCCTTACTCTCTCTTGGATGATCCACTCTGGCGGAAGCTAGCTGCCATGTCAGAAGGACACTCAAGCATCCCTCTGGGAGGTCCACATGGAGAGGAACTGAGGCCTCCTGCCAACAGCCAGCATCAAGTCACCATCTACGTGAAAAGGCCAGCTTAGGAGGGATCTGCCAGCCCCAGTCAAGCCTTTGGATGACTGCATCCCCAGCCGACACCTTGACTGTAACCTCCTAAGAGACTCTAAGGCAGGCCACCCAGATAAGTCACTCCCGATATCTAACCCACAGACACTGTGAGATAGTCTAAGTGATTATTATTGTTCTAAGCCATTAAGTTTTGGGGTAATTTATAATGGCATAGGTAACTAAGACAAATACTAAGTTTTCTATATAAATGAACCCACTTAATGCTTATAATGGCCCTCTGCAGCAGGTAGTATCATTATCTCTGTTTAATTCATAAGGAAACTGAAGCACCAAACACTTAATTGCCTTGCCCAATGACAAAACCAGTAAGTGGAGAAACAAGGATTTGCACCTAAGACTCCAGAGTCCATACTGATAATCGCTACATTACAGCGGCCAGCACGGTTGAGGGTACGCTCTACTCCTTCATTCACTCAAAATATAAGCAGCATCTGCTAGTGCCAGACACCATTTTAGTTTCTAGGGAAACAATACAAAGCCCCTGCTCTTATGGCACCCACATTCTAGAAGGAGAGACAGCTACTAAACCTGGAAACAATCAAACCAGACGACTTCAGATAGTCATAAGTACTTTGAAAGAATGAGCAAGGTAACTGGAAAGGGGAGGAGAGATGGGGACATTCCTTCCGACAAGATGGCCCAGAGGTCTGCCTCTCTGAGTGACATTTGAGCAGAAACCTGACAGGCAGAGGAAGCAGCTGCCAACTGAGGGTCAGAGAAAAGTGAAATCGAGGCAAAGAGAACAGCAGATGCAAAGGCCCTGGGGCAGAAATGACCTTGCTGTGTTGGAAGAATGGGAAGGCAGCCAGTGTGGCTGGAGCAAGGTGGGTTAAGGGAGAGCTGGAGGTGACGAGGGCCGGGAGAGGTGGGCTGGGGTCTAATCATCAGGACTTGTTGGCTGCCATGGAAGAGCCCAGAGTTAATTCTCAGAACAGCGAGAAGCCACTGGAAAGTTTTAGTTAAGCAGGGGAGTGATCTTCCTCATCATCTAGAAGTATCCATACTTCCCATTCTTTAAATCAAGTCCCTTTGTCTCCTGCACCCCACCCAACTGTCCTCCCTTGTTGCCCATACAACTGGTCACTGTTTACAAAGTGCTACAAAGTTACAAATACAGTCCTTTCTGAGCCTCCAACCCATGTTGGTGGGTACAAGGCCATAAAACATCATCTGTCCAAGGGGCAGGGGAGACCTTTTAGTTAGAGGGACCAGTAATAATACTCATGTTATAACACCGAGGTCAAGGGTTTGGATTCCCACACCAGCCACCCTCCCCCAATAATAAAAGTACTCATAAAAAAACGCTTAGAGTCCCCTTAAACACTCAGCTAAGATCCAAGAAATATGAATCGCACAATCTCTATATGGGAAACAGGAGCTGGCATCTTCAAGGTAATGGACTGTGCTAAAATAAGAGGAAGATAAGTACCAACTAGAAAAATAGTTGAATGGCTATTATCAAAAAGCTAAAATTGAGATGACGCCAGCAATATTGAGCTGGAAAATAATTGGCATTGAATCCAGCCTGACTTTTGTTTTCTGGTTCCTGAGCATTTTCCCAGGGTTTGGATCTCTTCTACATTTTTTTTTTCTTCTAGATGTTGAGAACAATCTAACTGGAAGGGTCCAATGTGTTTTACTCTAAAGCCTTTGTTTTGTGAAATCTCTATTCTCAAATTGAAATGGAGAAAATGTTGCAGATAATACCCACAGCGGGGTCTTGTGTTTTGTTCAGGACAAATAGAAGACACAAATGCTATAAAGAAGCCTGCCAGGGTGCTGCCAACTTTTCTGGTGCTTGTATATATTTATGTAAAAAATCATGTTGCTGTACACTTTACTGTAAATTTTACCCAATAAGAGAGAGAGAGAGAGAGAGAGAGAGAGAGAGAGAGAGAGAGAAGATTATAATGCTTGGCTGGCTCCTATTTATTGTGCCTTTCTATGTACCAGGCGCTGTGCTAGCCATTTCACACATTTCTCAGCTAATTCCACCGCCTCCTATCTTATTCCCATTTTACTGGTGGAGAATCTGAGGCTCAGAGAAGGCAAGCGACTTACCAAAGATCACACAGCAATAAACGGCCAAAGGAGAATTCAGTTTCAAGACGGTCTAATGGTAAAGTCTGAAATATGTAGGAGGCAGGCACGTCATACCAGAATGTTAGGGCTGACGGGGCTCTCGCAATCTTTTCACTGAACAGACAAGAGATTGGCCCGGGATCCCTCGGTCAATACCTGGAAAGCCAACCCACTACGGTCCGGACTGCCATTCCAGCGCCATGCTCCCTCTGAATTGTATGAGGATGGGTTGGAGGAGAAAAAGCAGGAATAAGAAAGATCCCCCTTCCCACCTGCTTTCCCCCAAAGCCAGGAGCAGCCGGCGCAGGGAGGTGGGAGGGGACCGTGACCCACGCCAACCTCCAGCACCCGGCGCCCGCGGTGCGTCCCCCGAACCCTGGAGCACCGTCCCGGAGCGCGCGGTCCCCGCCGCCCTACCTTGGTGGCCGACCGGCTGCCTGCTGGGCCTGCCGGACGGGAGCGCACTGACACTGGAGTCGCTCATGGCTGCGCGCCACGCTCCGGATAGGACGCCGGGGACCCGCTCCGGCCGCCGCCGCCGCCGCCGCCGTTTTTCCTCTCCCTCTATACATCTATTCATCTGCAGTTTAAAGCATAAAATTAAAGGTAATTGCCAAATATAAATGAGTAGATAAATAATAAAGGGGGAAATGTAGATAAATTTCCTGAGCAGAATTCCAAATTATTTACGTAGATACTTCACGGAGGTGGAGCTTAACTCTCTACTCCTTAAGTGTGGGCTGCACGTAGTGACAACCTTCTCGTGAGTACAGTGTGGAAGGGAGGGAGGGGACCTTTACAGATTACACTTGACAAACACTTTCTCAAGCAGGTGATCAGGGTTAACATCACCCAACAGTGGCTGGCCGCTTAGTTCAGTTGGTTAGAGCACAGCCTTGCAATACCAAGGTCACGAGTTTGGATCCCCATACTGGCCAGCTGCCAAAAAATTAAATAAAAAGTAGAATAGCTTTAAAAAAAAAAAAAAATCAACAATAAGTCACGTGAATTGTGTTCACCCATGATATGATGTGATGAGAATGACATTACCTCTGTGGCCTTTTCCCCCAAAACCTGTAATCCCAGTCTAAAAGAAAAATAACAGACAAACCCCAATTGAGGGACATTCTACAGAATACCTGATCATTACTCCTCAAAACTGTCGAGATCATTTTTAAAAAAAATCAACTTTTGAAAAAGCAAAGTCTGAGAAACTGTCAAAGCCAAAAGAAGACTAAGGAGATATGCTCATGTGAAATCCTGGATGGGATTCTGGAACACAAGTTAAAATACATTAAGTGAACACTATGGAAATCTGAACAAAATATGGACTTTAGTTAATAATCATGTTTTAATCAGTTCACAATCAGTTCACTAATTGTGGGAAATGTACCATATTGATGTACGATGTTAATAGTAGAGGAATACAGAGTATGAAAACTCTGTATTATCCTCAAATTTTTTCTGAAAATAGAAAACTGTTCTAAAACAGAAAGTTGTGTGTGTGTGTGTGTGTGTGTGTGTGTGTGTTTAAATAACTGTTTGGCTCAAAATAAAGGCTATTTTTATTGTGATTGGGGGGGTTACTGGGTGGGAAACTGGTTTCCAATTATTTCCTGTGTGAGCTGGGCCATGTGTCTCAACCTTTCTGAGCCTCTGTTTTCTCACCTATAAAATGCGGATATAAAACTAGAACATAGTTTCCAGGGCTGTGGAACCCTGTGGTAGGAGCAATTGCCTGAAGTGCCTAGCAGAGCATCTGGGAAAACTAATTTGGATAGCAACCTCATAACTTATACAAAAGAAAACCCAAGCAAAAAAGTAAAATCATGGAAAGTACTAAAAGAAAAGGTGGGGATTTTTTTTTTTTTAGTTATCATAGTAAGGAAAGACCTTACTAAGTCTGACCCAAACTCAGAAACCAAAAAAGAATAATAAATTTAACTACATAAAAATTTTGAATTCTGCAACACAAGCGATAATATTTGTACAGGATATTCTTTGCAGGGTTGTTTGTAACAGCCAGTGACTGGAGACAGCCTGAATTTCCATGGATGAGTGTGGCTTGCCACAGTGCCCCCTACCGACTCAATCCTAGCACTTTGTTTTGTCTGTTTCCCACACTGGGATATCAGCTTGGGGAGGGCTTTTATCATTAGGGAAATAACAGCATCATCCACAGCAGCAACAATTGCCACTTGCTGAGAACTTCCTCTGGACCAAACCCTTATCATGCATTGCATCATTTAACTTTGATTATCCCTAAGAGGTCAGTGGGAACCTTTGATGTCCAGGTTATAGAGAAAAGAACCACAGCTCAGAGGGGCAGTTGGAATGGCTCCTCCTTGCTCCTTCCCTCCTAACTCAGCACCACTCACCTAACCCAGAACCACTGCCTCCCGACTGACCCCCTGCCTTGTCCACGCCTGTGCGCCTGGCAGTCAGAGCCAACCTCTCAGAAAAGATCGGATCTTGTCATTTTCCTGCTTAACCATCCCCCTCCTCTAATGGTTTCCTCTTGCCACTTAAAATACATACTCCCCTCCTTATCATGTGTCCGCCAGGCTTGGAAAGATCTGTCCAAACCCACTGACTACCAACTTCATGATGGATCACTGACCTCCTGTCTGCTGCTTCAATTCACCTAGCATGTTCCTGCCTACTGGCTTCTGCAGTTGCTGTCTCCTCCCTGAAAGCACCTCATACTTCCCCTTGATTTTGTCTGCTTCTACCTTCAGATGGCAAAAGAGGGCCACATTGCAGCTCTAAAATGACATCAACTCTGCAAAGACTGAGTCTTTGAGTCGCAGAGTCACAATCACCAAGTCCTGGGAGGTAGAGTTTGATCTAATTAAGTCAGGAATAAATTTCCAGTCCCATCCACCTGGTCCTAATGCAGGCTGCCCTGGTACAAACAGAGCTCCCAGCTCCCCCGCTTCCTGTCCCTTCCTCCCACCTCACCAACTGTCATTGCTCAAGTTGTCTACAACAGAAGTGCTTTGTACACTGTAAATCCCAAATGTCGATGCAGTAGCGGTGGCTGTGTAAGATTTATGACTGTGGGGTTGCAAAATGGGCTAAAAAAGAGGGCACTTTACATGCCAGAGGAAGAACAAATCCCAAATGTCGATGCAGTAGCGGTGGCTGTGTAAGACTTATGACTGTGGGGTTGCAAAATGGGCTAAAAAAGAGGGCACTTTACATGCCAGAGGAAGAACTCTGCTCCTTTACTTCTGACACCAAATATGTGGGGTTTTTCCACATCAACCCATTCTCCAACTCTCCCAGCACCAACCGGATGTCCTACAATTCAATTCAATTGAGACACTATCTACTTGGAAGTAGAGTCAAACCCCACAGGTTAAAGTCTCAGTCCCCCAACACTGCCCCTACTTCAGATGCCAATCACAAGCCAGGGCCTCTGGAGACAGTAAGAAGATCCATTGCCAGGGTTTAGGGGGGTGGGAAAGATGAATAGGCAGAGCAGAGAGGATTTTTAAGGCAGTGAAACTACTCTGTATGATACTGCAATTGTGGATTCATGTCAACATACATTTGTCAAAATCCACAGAATGTACAACACCGAGTGCACCCTAATGTCAACTATGGACTGTGGGTGATAATGATGTGTCAATGTAGGTTCATCAACTGTAACAAATGTTCCACTCTGGTGGGGGATGTTGATAATGGGGGAGGTGATGCATGTGGGGGGGCAGGAAATATGTGGGAAATCTCTGTACCTTCCTCTCAATTTGCTGTGAACCTAAAACAGCCCTAAAAAAGGTAAGTGTAAAAACAAACAAAAAAACTTGGCTAACATGGAAGAACATGACCTCAAAACCTGTCTGCAGAACACACAGACTGCTCATCAAGGTTCCCACAGGGAAAATCAACTTACCAGCTTGCAGTAATAATAAATTTCCATTGCTGATCAGGTTATCATAGAATATCAAAAATCGTATCTTTCAGGGCCGGCCCGGTGGCACACTGCTACAGTGCGCCGCTTGGGAAGCGCGGCGGCAGGTGGTGCACTGCTACAGTGCGCCGCTTGGGAAGTGTGGCGGCGCTCCCGCCGAGGGTTGGGATCCCACATACAGACCGGCCGCTCACTGGCTGAGCGAGGAGCGGGGGCAACACCGAGGGTTGCAATCCGTTGCCGGTCACGAAAAAAGACAAAAAATCCGTTGCCGGTCATGAAAAAAAAAAAAAATCGTATCTTTCAGCCTAGCCATTTTGTTTTTGGGAATTTACCTTAAAAAAATATATAATGCCTGTTCACAAAGAATTGCAATGATGACGGAGCCACATTGAGTGAGTACTTTTGAGAGGCCAGACACCATTCAATGTGCTTTATGTGAATTAACTCATTGAATCCTTGCAATAACCCAGTGAGGGAGGAACTATCATAACCCCACTTTACAGATGAGGAAAATGAACCCCAGAGAGTTCAAGTATCTCCTCGATGTCACAGAGCTAACAAGTGATAGAGCTGAGATTTGATTCCAGGAAGTCTGACACCAGAATCCACTTAGTCAACCACTGTTTTTATGATCATCCTGATGATAATCTTGCTGCACTATTTAAAATATAAAACAAACTAAAAAAGAGAATGTCCAACACAAAGGGGTCAGTTGTATAAATTACAGAACATCCATTGAATGGGGTACTAGGGAAGTCTTTATGATATTGTAGAAGAATTCACATCATGATATAAAAATGTTTTCATACTATGTTGAATAAAAATAAATGGACTATAAAGGACATAATCCAATTTCAGTAAAAATGTATATGTGTGTGCGTGTGTAAATTAGAACAACACTTACCAAGATGTTAGCAGTATTTATTCCTAGGTGATGACAGTAGAAGTCATTTTTTTATCTTATTGCTTTTTCTGCATTTTCCAACTTCTCTAGGAAATTGTATTCATAATTGAGAAATGAAAGTTGTTATTTTAAAGCATTATAGGACAATTTTACTTTACCCCTATGTTTCCTCTTGGGTCAAATGATTAACAAACCCAAATGAGAGAGAGAGAGAGGGAAAAAAAAGTAACTCAGAGCAATCTGAGATATGCAAGTTCTGCTAAATTTATCAGGCCTGGAGACATATGAACCCGGAGCTTCCATCACATCTTCCTCACCCTTGTCCAGGATAATTGATAAGAAAACACATTCTAGTAGCAGTAGCAGTTACCAGACAAGCTGCCGCCACTAGCAAGTGTGTATTAACTGAATGTTGACACAAGATTTACAATGTGACCCTCACTCTTTCTTTGTTTTAACTTTCCTGGACTTTATGATGCTACAAGCAATGTATAGGCAACAATAGCTTATGTTATTTAAGTGAACCAACGTAAATTCTCGACTAAAAACTTTGGGACTGCCCCTTTAAGATTCTCCTTCTTTGCTTTAAATACTACTGATTTCCCTTTTGTCCTCTGGAGCATATTCTCAAGGCAACTGAGTTTGTGTTTCCCAGGCTGCAGTCCAAAAATTTGGCCCAAATAAACTGTTTTTTATTTATGCCTCAGTTTCTTCTTTTAG